GGCTTGGTGCCCTGAATTTCCCACATTGGCAATGTGGGGACACACTTTCATGCAGATGTTCTCTGTTGGCTCCCTAGATCTCCTTTGAGACCAGCAAGGGGATTCTTACAGCCACAGCGGGGTCCTGGCGGGCTTGGCTGTGGCTGGCTGCCTGCAGGGTCCCTCTTACGGGAATTGCCTTGCAGGTCGGTGCTGTCCCACCAGGTCTGTCTTGTGCATTGTACCCCAGGAGGGACTCCCTTGCCCTCCTGTAAAGACTCTGAAGGAACTAGCTACCTCTAGGTGAAACGGCTGATCTCTCTGATTTTCAATTACTGGATGATGACCGTGTGTTTACAAATAGTGTGAGCGAGTAGTGGTCCTCTTAGGTGTAAGCTGTCTAATGGTTTCTGTCTTTACTCTTCTCGGAAGTTGTCATACCTGTCTATCCTTTGGTTTCTCAGGAGGTTAATGCAGAACCTTTTCCTTGCTGTGTCATTTTGGCTGGGGCACTATTCCCCCTCTCATTTGCAACCTGCTCAGACCCCCAGCCTGCTCAGGGCACAGCTTGCCCTTGCCTAAGCTGCACTTGCTCTTCCTCACCTGGAGACCTCGAAGAAGCATTGCTGGCATGGCTGTCCCCTAGCACTGGCTGTGGTCCTCACCTGCACCAGGACCATCCCACGGAATCTGGGGAGGAAGGAGGATCGTTTGGAGACTGTCTGTTGAGTGGTGAAGCGGATCCTGTTGGACTGCTGGGCATATGGCCGGCTGTCCTGCGTGGCGCCCTCAGGCTCCTGCCAGGGCTGCAGGGAAACTGGGGATACCAGTTTGGCTCTTCCAGCCCCTGCAGGACCTGCAACACAGAGCATGCGCCCCCGCCTCAGCCTCTTCAGCACAAAGTCCAGGCTCTTGGCTTCAAAACCGCCTTCATCAGCAGTTTCTCGGAGGTGCCAGGCTGTGGGCTGGAGTGACTCGGGGGCAGGCTGGCTCCTTTCTGTTGACTTAGCTGCCAGGGAAGGAGGGGTGTGAAAGACGGAGCCGAGGGCTCTGCATGCCTGCTGGGAGCCTGGGCTGCCCTCTGAGGCTGTCCCAGTTGGTGATGGGGTGCTCTGTGCCTTTGTCCATGTTGCACATGAGTGGTACCCCAGGAGAAGGCACTACAGCTTTCTTGCTAGAGGTGTAGGCATTTCTGCTGTGTAACACCAGGTCTCTGCCCAGCCCTGCAGATTTATTCCACCTCTTCTTTTGCCTTCTCCAAAAATCCATTACAAGCTGCATTGGATGTAAGAAAAGGCAGGGAACCAGGCCATTGAGCATTGGGATTGATTTCCCCAGGTAAGGTAGTAAATATGTCTCCTAGGCTGAGCAGTGTCCTACAGCACGTGTCCCTCTCAAAAGGGCACATGTAGCTGTGGAGCTGCCGTTACCCTGGCTGTCAGGTCCTTGTGCAACGGCTCTTCTCCTTCCAGGTACGAGGTGTTTGCTCCCCTGGACTCCCCCATGAGCTTTCTTCCTCAAGTGCTGCTGTGCTGCCGCCAGCCGCGGGCTGGAAGGAAAGCACAAAGTGGCCGCACAGCCCTGCCCTTCTTGGTGCTCACTGGGCGCACCAGGGAGCGAGCATCGAAAGCGAGCAAATGCTTTAGCTGTGCCTTGGCCATGGCGGGGGTGGCTTGCAGTACTAGCATCGGGGCTTCAGTGCTCCCCCCTATGACTTGTCCCCTAATTTGTTAAGAAATAACCTCATCTTGACTGGGCAACCCCAGGGGCAAACGATCTGGTTTTGGCTGCAGGCAGCAGATCAAAACTCAGGACCTGCTTTTCCATTCCTGGCTGTGCCAGCATCTTCTCTGTGACCGCAGGCAAAGCTGCTCCTTCCTTCCCTACCCACGGTCCCCTTGCCAGTCTCGCACTGCTAAAGCCCCGGCTCCTGCTGCAGCTGTTCTGTCTGTCTCCTCGCACGGAGGGGCCCTGGTTTTGGGTGGGAGGGTCAGGTGGTGTTAGTGCAACTGAAAATCACTTACTGCCACCAAATAAATGTAAAAAGGATGTTTGTGAAATGCTGGGAGGTCTGAAACATCTGCCAGCAGCTTTTAAGGGGTCAGCTATCAGCTGGGGCAGTATCTAGTATCCCTCGCTAGCACTGCTTGTCCTGAGCTCCTACGTAGGCATAAGCAACACCTACTTGCTCCCTATTTCCCAAATTGATGCAGTGACGAAGGGCAGTGGGGTTTTCCTGCAGTGGGGTTTAGCAAGGGGATCTTTCCAGATGTGCACCACAAGATGTGTTGCTGTCCTTGTAGGAAGGTTTTCTTCTGAAGCCTCAGCACTTAAATGTGTTTTGAGTGGGTTTGGGTTTGTTTGTTTTTTGTTGGTTTGGTTTTTTTTGTTTTTTTTTTTTCATACGGGAGTTTGCTAGAGTGTCTGCAAGGGAACATGAGCAGTTTTGGGCTTGATGTCCAGGAGTGTGACTATAGAATCGCTGATGGGCTGGAGCTCTTGGTTTAGGCTGGCATGCCCTGGAGGGTGCCGAGCATGCACAGCTTCTGCTCCCCGTGGCTCTTGGCTCTGCAAGTGGTGTGTCTGTCTGTCTATCCTCTAGCTCTATCACACCCCCTCAGTCTCCTGCCTTGGTCTGAGCAGTCTCCACCGTGACTTGCAGATCTCGAACTCCATCCACGATGGCGAGAGCCACCTTGCAGCCCCCGCCGCGGCACTGGCCTGGCTGCGCTCCCTGGAGCAGCTTCCCTGCCAGGCTGCAGCTCTGCTTTGTGTTTTGTCTTTCGCAGGGCTCTGCAAATGCTAATTAGTCTTCTCAGCACCTCAGCTAGATAAGGAATCCCTGTTCCTATCTTGCAGATAAGGAAACCAGCAGAACTTGTTTCAAACAATCTCCTCCCTCCCCCGCAAAGATGATGGAGTCTGTGGCACCCACCCCTGCAGCCCGTGCCCATGGATCCTCTTTCGCTAGAGGTTGTGAGGGGGCCTCTCTTTGACTGGTCCCCAAAAAAGCACAAGAACCTCTACGGCCTTGAGGCTCCTGAGCTGAAGCAGCTGGAGAAAAGGGCTGGATGTCATTGCCGTGAACCCTGGGGCTGCAGTGCGGTGTCAGCAGGCCCCCCGGCTGAGATGCTGGCAGTGAGAGAGGGAGCCCTGCTCTCCCCCAGCCAGAGATTGGTGCCTAATCAGGCTGCAGAGCAAGTTCAGTTCTTTTTTTCCATGGTGCCAGGCATGTCGGTGCTGTTGGAGCATGCAGGAGTGCTCCATACCTGTGGAAAACCGGGCTAAAACCGGGCTGCCTGTGGGTTTGTGCTGTAGCACTTGGTGCCTTTTGAAGCTATATTTAGTTGGTGACATATGTGGGCGTTGAGTGGAGGATTTTAGGGGCTGTTTTGAAAGCGCTTGCTCTTCCTACGCTAGCAGGAAAGTTTAAAAGCCTTGTGGCAAACTTTGTGCCATGGAACCGGGATTCTCAATGAGGTGCACGTGGAATAAATGAGACACGTGGGACTGCTGGTGCTTGGGAGGGGGAGGCAGTGCAGGGGGGCTGGGGAGGTCCTGGGGGGAAAGGGGAGGATTTGGGCACTTAGCTGAGAGCTTGAGCTCTGCTGGGGGTGAAATCCCCACGCAGGAGCCTTGGGGAAGGGGAGCGCACATGGCTCTGTCCTGCCATGTCTGACTCTGTCTTCCTGACACTTCAAAGCCTCCAGCTCTGAGCAAGGCTGGGCTGGCAGGATGAATCACAGGTTTCAAGGCTCTGAAGGGGACCGGTTTTGATCATCTAGGCAAAGTTGTCCCAGCTTATGCAGGAGATCAAAGCCAGCTTTGAGTGGAGCTGGGTAGGCTATTCAGGGTGTATCTGGGGACGCCCCGGGAAAGCTTCTGCCATTCCTTGGAGCTCTTCTCTTCACCTCCCTCCCACCCTCGCCCCTACCCCAGTCTGGGGCGCTTTTCTTTTCGACAAAGCCAGCGGAGTCAGCAGAAATGCTCGCTCCTGCTGGGTGCATGGCACCTGGCACGGGCTGTCCCTCAAGGCAGTGGTTGGTGGGCTCTCCTCACCTTGCCAAGCACCACTGTTGTGGAGGAGAGTCTCATATGTGGTCCTCACGGGGCTGGTTTATGTTAGGCTGTGCTGCTCTGTTGGACTCTGGCATGCCCTGTGCAAGCCTGCTCCTGATCCGAAGACCTTGCAGCCAAACCTGGGAGGGAGAAAACAAGATAAATTTCTTCTTCCATTTGTAAGGAGGTGGTGTGTGAGCAGGAGCTGAGACAGGTCATGGTGGGGCTGAGGTCTTGACTTGCTGTAGGTCTTGCAGTGAGGTCCATGGTGGTGTGAACCCCAACAGTTGCATTCTGATACATCTAAACACCCCAGAGGCACTCAAGTGCCTAAATACTTTAGGCTGTAGCAGGATTTATGCACTTCCCAGATCTGGCTCCTTCTCTCTGTACGTTCCCTCTTGTGAACTTGCTGCCCTGTGCTGGGATGCACTGGAGATCAAAGCAGGAGACGAGCAGCACCTGTGTGCCGCAGACTTGTGCATCCCTCCTCTGCTCTCTGGGGAGGACCAGCTACTACATTGGTGTGGTGATGGGCCTTGCCTGTTCAAGGGCATGTTTGTTTTGCTGTGTGTAACAGCAGATCAAGTTCTGTGTGGCGCTTTACAGAGCGAGCTGAACTCCTCACCACCCCTCCTCCCTGGCTGGCAAGGCCAAGTGGGGAGGGCTGAGCTAAGTCGGGGAGGGCTGAGCTAAGTCAGGGAGTGCCTTCCTGTGGCTAGGTGGGGTTAAAGGTCCATTTCTTGGCCACCTGGATTCATCGGGAGTTTTCTGATCTTGATGGGGCTCTTCTGAGACCCAGGTCAGAAGCTGGCTCTGTTTTCTATTCGCTCTTTCCTCTTAGCCCTCCTTTGTTGAAGGGGGAGCTGGCTTGCTTCCCACCCACTTCCCTCCAGAGCTAACGCTTCCAAAGCCCTCAGCTGTGTTTTAACAGTTTTGTTCTCCTCCTCCTCTTTTTGCAGAACATACAACTCCAGCGAAAGTGGTGAGGGCTGCCAACCCAAGACAGCGGAAAGGAAGCAAGGTAAGGCTGTGCCTGCCACCCCCCTCGCTGGCCTTTAGCTTCTGGTGCAGTTGTCAGCGCTGCGTGAGCATCTTGAGGGTCTAGGGAGCAGACCACTTCTTCGCAAGCCTGGTTGTGGAGGGGTTGATGTGCTGGCCTGGCTGCTTCCACAAGCGTGAAGAACAACATCCTGATTCTCCATCTCCTCTTTAGCGTTTCGGTGGTCTTGCATGCTGCCTGGACTGGTTTTCTGCCCAGTTAGGCCAGATGAGACCTTCTCATCTCTCTCGCAGGGAGGCACTTGGAGCACAGTCCTGGATATGGAAAGCATCTCCCCCCTATCCCAAGGACACCCCAACTCTCCCTCGAGAACTTAGCCAGTGCCCCGCTTTGCAGCGCAGACAGGGCGGTGGTGTGAAAGCAATGTGTCTGTAGGTCCTTTCTTCCTTGTGCAATCTGTTCTTTACTGGCACGTGGAGAGTCAGGGTAATTGATTTCAAACAAAGCGACTTCCTTGGAGGAACCAGGGCAATCTGTTCCAGGGGATCAACATGTGATGGAGGGACAGTTGCTTCTGAGGATGTTGCATCAGCTGGGGCACAGCTAGGGACATGGGCTATTGGTGTTGGCTGCCAGTGAAGACGCATCTGAAACTTGATGTGACTTTCCTTATCTGTGCCATCCCAGCGAGAGGAGGGCCCTGGAGATGGAAGGTGTTCCTGTCTGTGAAACAGACAGGATGCATGGCCCTGCACTGGAAGTAGTTTTCCCAGCAAACCTGCCTCATGGGGGAGAGGAGCATAGCACTTGAACGTAGAGATGTGATCTCCTGAGAGACTCAGTGATGCCAAATTAATTTAGAAATAATAACCCCACAAGAGCAAGGAGGAGTTTATGTGCCCAGATAAACTCAGTGCCCAGCCATGATTCGTCATTTACCTGGGCAGCTGTTTGGGTCCTTTCCTCTCTGTCCTGCAGGTCCTCTCTGAAACCTGGAAGAGGTAGAAATGATGGTAGTTGCCAGATCACTTACGCAGCAGAGAAGTGACTGCTGCTTCCCCATGTGGCCATGGGGTGTTGGGAATGAGGGAGCTCCCATCACCATCGGATACCTGTTTGAATTTTCCCACCAATTCTATGACATGATCCCTTTGCTTTGTCGTGGCCAGCACTTGGTTGCAGTTGGGCACTTGAAGTGAAGCAATGCCTGGCTGTAACCTGCCACTAGGTGGAGGCAGCTTCTTTGATGGGATGTGGTTGTTTCAGATGCATTTAGGATGCTGAAGGCCAGTGCCTTCCCTGTCCAAGGGATAGTGCCTATGATGAGCGAGTTACCCTGGGCAACTTAGTGCCAGATGCTGCTGCTGGGGCAAAATGTTTGGTGGGAGCTGGGAGGCTGGTAGCTTACAGGGCTGGTGGCAGCCTCGTTACAATCCCTGAGAGACATAAACTTGTCTGCAGTTATCTGACATTAATTTGGGCACCCTGCTTGGGGGAGGGAGAGGGACTGTGTATATGCAGTTTATGTGTCGCCCCCAAACCTCCTGGGGACAGCCACCTGCAGTGGTGGGTGGTGGCTGTGTCAGTGTGGCTGGAAGGGCTTCTGGCTGCTGATGCAGGGAACAGCACTGGCAGCTTGTGGACTAATGTGACCTTTCTCTTTGGATACAAGGTTGGTGACTTCGGTGATGCCACAAATTGGCCAACACCTGGAGAAATAGCCCACAAGAGTGTCCAGGTGAGAAAACAAAATTGCTCTGGTGAGCAGGATAAGGCTCTTGCAGACCTCCCCGTCCCTCTGGAAGCACTGGCTGAGCCAGGCCATTTGGGGTGCTGACTGTCAGTGTGGAGGCAGCCAGGAATAGTGTGCAGGGGATTTCCTTTTAGGGCTGCCCTGTGTGTCGGGCTCCCTCCCTCGGTGCTATTCTGGGAGCCCGGTCTAAACCCCTGGGCTGGGTGAAGCAGGTAGGGCAGCTCCCAGACCCGCTTCCCTCAGGGCTGCTCAGCGCAAGAAGGGCCCTGGGCAAAAGCCGAGGCTTCCACGGGAGAAACTGAAAACACGCGTGAGAAAGGGCTGATGTGCCCAAGGGGCATGGCCTTCCTGTCCCGCTACGGACATGGGTGTCGTTGAAACCTTTCTATTTTTGGATGCCGCTTTGCCAGCTCCTGGCTGTCTGTCAGGGCATGAGGTCACTCACTCTTTTGTCATTGGGGCAGCCTGGTCCCTTGTAGGACACCACCATCCAGGAGCACCAGGCTTCCCTGGCAGTCCATCTCGGTAACATCTGTGTCTGGCACTTGTGTCTCAGCTTGAGCACTTCCAAGCACCTGTAGAGCTGCTTGCCCTGCTCAGACATAAGCCCTTCCTCAGGTACAGGACAGCTCTGGGAGGCTCAGAGCAGGGATGCTTGCAGCCTAGGGCAAGGTCCTCCTGTTTCTGCTTCTGCCAGGACAGCTGGGGTCTGCCAACAGCTCTTCATTTGTCCCACCTCTCACATCTTTCCTCCACTGGTGTGTCTCCAGCAGCCGCACAAAGCACCGCCCCTCCGGAAACTGCCTGTCAAGAAAGACATGAAAGAGCAGGAGAAAGGGGATGGGAGCGACGGCAAAGAGAGCCTGAAAACCAAATCGGATGAGTCTGGAGAGGAGAAGAATGGCGATGATGACAACCAGAAGTCAGCCCAGAAGAAGAAAGGTAAGGCAGGACCTGGCAGGGCCAGTATCCCGGGCTTAGCCTGTCTCCCTCTCTGTGACCCACAGTGGAAGTGTCCACTGCTTTCCATGAGGTCTTGCTGGGGGACGTGGTCCCAGTGCAGGGACAGCTGTGGTGAAAAGGTGTCTGCAGGCTTCAGTGGGGCAAAGCGTCATTTGTCGTGGGAGCACATGGAGCAGGGCCCAAGCAGAGGCATCTGTGTGTTCTGTGGTGGCACAGAAAAGCCCCTGACTGGGTTGCATCAGCCGTGGTTGACACGTGGGCTCAGTCTGGCCTGAGCCTCGGCAGGTAGAAAGGGGCAGAAGAAGGTCAAGTGCCCTGAAGCAACAGGGGAGTTTTGTGTCATGACCCTCCATCCCAGACAGTCCTGTTCGGAGTCTTTCATCATCCAGTGAGGCCTGGAGGGATGTTAGAGGACAGCATCGGTCCAGAAGGCCCCCCTGCCTTATCTCCTCCACGTGTGGGGGCTGTGTGGCAAGAAGGGGCTGCGGGGGAGGAAGCAGGCACTCTCTGAACCTGTGTCACACCCAAACCCTGTCCTTTTGCAGGCAACAAACACAAGTGGGTCCCTTTGCAGATAGACATGAAGTCAGAGGTGCCTAGGGACAAAACGGCCTCTCGGAACAACCGGCAAAACGAGCAGCACAGGCACCCCTCCAACAACCGCAGCGAGCTGAAAGGTGGGGGCTCGGGCTGGGGACCTGCTCTCCCCGCCCTAGCTGTGGGGCAGAGCAAGCCCTGATGCCCAGGCATGGCACGGGGCGGTGGGCACGCTTCCTGCATCCAAATGGCTCTGCGTGCAGTGGGCTTGCTCCAGGGAGTTGCTTTCATCCTGTAACACTCCTCCTGCCTCTCTTTCCCCATCTGCTGCAGGCTGGCACCCGGACAACAAGCATGAACGCAGCTGGCAGGACCACGATGAAACCTCCAGCGTGAAAAGTGAGGGAGGAGCGGTGCGAGGGGCCTTCCGGGGCCGAGGTCGGGGCCGTGGCAGGGGCCGGGGCCGTGGCAGAGGAGGTGATCACTCTTATATGTGGTTTTGTGATAGCAGGGAGAGAGCAGGGCATGTGCCGAAGTGTGCAGGGCTCTGTGTGTGTGTGTGTGTGTGTGTGTGAGACCTGGGGCTCCAAAGTGGGCTGGGGAGGGCAGAGCGCTGTAGGGATACAGGGAAATATTGTGGCGGGTCATCCTAGCTAAGTTGAGCTGCTTTTAATAAAATCAAATCATTCTTACTAGTATTTGAATAAAGGCAAACAACTTTCAGCTATTCAGGCCAAGCTCTTCCGCCTGTTTTCTGCCCCTTGCAGTATCACTGCATGCAGGAGTTGAAGGTTGCTGATATTCTGTGTGGGCTTTATGTCAGGTTGAGAGCCAAGCACAGGAGCCCTGGCTTGGATGGGGAAGAACATCTGCATTGGCACTTGGCAGGGCAATGTCTGTGCACAGCTTCAGTGTAAGGTCTTCGTGTGTCACCTGGGCTGCCTAGTTGCTCCTGGGTAAGGGCGCTTCTGGCCTCTGCCTTGGTGTGTTGAGGCTTCACTGGAATCCCTTCTGCGGCAAAAGCTGAGACCAGGAGGAGGGCGTGCGGGTCAGTGATGTTTCACTCTGGGCTGCTGTGGGGGCCCTAGGAACAGTGCAGAGGGAGCTATTTGTGCAGAAGTCCAGCCCCATCTGGCAGCACAGCCTGTCCAGCAGATCCGAGGGGCTCTGTGCTGACCCTTAGTGGTGTCCCACAGGGCACTTTGACTACCAGTATGGGTACCGGAAATTCGAGGGCTCAGATGGCTCCCGCACCCAGAAGTATGCTAGCAACATCACTTACTACTTCGACAACATCAGCAGCGCCGAGCTCTACAGCGTGGACCAGGAACTGCTCAAGGACTACATCAAGCGGCAGATGTAAGCACCACCTCTTCTCTGAGTGTTGGTTGTTGGTGGAGTGTTCGCAGATGCCCTCCCTGGGGACTGCATAGCTAATCCCATGGGTAGGGTTAGAGCTGAGGTGTGTTGACTCTGTGCCATGCAGCTTACAGCACCAGCTTGCCCCAGGTTTGGGATCCCCGGACTGTCTCTCTTCGGCCTCACAGCAGCAGAAGTGGGGTGGAGGGGTGCCGATTATTTCCTTGGGGGTGCCCAGAGGAAGTTGGCTTGGAGCTGGCTCTCACTGGTGTGTTGTCCATACAGAGAATATTACTTCAGCGTGGACAACCTGGAGCGAGACTTCTTCCTGCGTCGCAAGATGGACTCGGATGGCTTCCTTCCCATCACCCTGATTGCCAGCTTCCACCGGGTGCAGGCGCTGACCACCGACATCAACCTCATCATCAAGGTGAGGGCAATAAAAAATACACTTTCCTTCTTGTTCTGCTTCTTACTGACCTAGTCTGAGGCCTGTTTTCTAGACGGGCTATGGGTGAAATGCAAGTGGAGCCTTCCCTTGTCCTTTACTTGCTCCCTCCTCCTCTTGGTCCTCCTAGGGAGGAAAGGCTGAGGCTGAGCCACTCAACGTGCCAAGGCAGGGCCTTAAGTTAACCGGGTATCACTTGGTTGCAGGCTCTGAAGGACAGCAAGGTGGTGGAAATCGTGGACGAGAAGATCAGGAGAAAAGAACAGCCAGAAAAATGGGCTCTGCCTGGCCCTCCTATGGCAGACTACACACAAACAGACTTCTCGCAGTTCATCAACTGCCCTGAGTTTGTGCCCCGGCAAAGCTTTCAGAAAGAGACAGGTGAGCACTGGGGGAATGTGGAGGGAGGTCTGGGATGCAGTGTTGGTACTGCAGCAGGACTTGAGACCCTGAGAATCAGGAGTGTTCCCCAGGGCAGGGCTCTACCATTTGCTTTTTGCTTGGCGATGGGAGCTGGTTTGGGCTCTGTCCTTAGAGCCCCAGAGCACTGCCACCTCCGTACATGGGGAAATGTGGGAAAGACTTGAGTCTGTGGCTTTTCCTCTGCGGGCGCTGAAGGGATTCAGCCATGGTCAGTCCTGCTGGAAGTCTCTTGACTGTGCCTGGAAATACTCTACTACTGCTGGGCAGAGCAGAGAACGCTTGTGAACCCAACCTTTTCTTAATGGTTGAGGAGCTATTGGGCACAAATGGGGCAGCAGGTATGGAGCTGTCAACCAAGTGTTGGGGAAGGGTCCGCTGTCCTTCATGGGCTGCTCCCTGCTCTCGTCACCCCATCCCATGAGGGCTGGCAGGAGTCCAGGCTGGTCCCAAGAAGTGCTGTTGTAAGAGTCGGTGCTTCTTGGTGCTGTCATAAGAGTTTTGGCAGGAGAGGATCTGTTCCCGCTGGCTGCAGACTGTCTTGGAAAGGTTTCCCCAAGAGCAACAGAGCACTTGCTTTAGGGCTTTGTGTGTCTGGGAAGCTGTCACCTGCAGAGCTCTGTGGCCACCTCTGGCATCACAGCCTTAACCAGAGACTTTTTATTTCCTCACCCCCTACCCCCTCACAACACCTGTGGGCAACGTGCTGGTAAGCCTTGGCCACTGAGTGCTAGTTAGTCCCACAAGCTGTGCCTTGCTGCCAAAACAACTCCATCTTTGGTCGGGTGCTTTAAGTACACAACCCCCGAGGCTCCCTCCCTCCCTCCCTCCCTCCCTCCCTCCCTCTAAAGCACCTCGTGGCTCTTGTTGGCTCTAGAGTCTGCTCCTGGCTCCCCGCGTCCCGCCAGCCCAGTCCCCACCAAAACAGAGGAGGTCAGTAACCTGAAGACGATGCCCAAGGGCCTGTCCGCAAGTCTGCCAGACCTGGATTCGGAGACGTGGATTGAAGTGAAGAAGAGACCTCGGCCCTCCCCAGCCAGGCCCAAGGTAGGTGGTGATGTAGGAGCTGTTGGGGTGAGGGTCTCATGGTTGTCTGGATGACTGGAATCATAAGTAGGCCGGTTTCAGATCAAATACGGTCTGTTGGTCATGGGAGTGATGTCCTGGTCTCTCTTGGCCCTGTCTGACCCCCTTTGGAGCTGCTTCTCAGTGGTGTAAATAAGGTATTCTCCCCAGATGGCCAGCTTCTGGCTGCAGTAAAGAAACACAGGGCAAGAGTTGGGTCTCCAAGCAGTAGGCTTGTGCTGCTATGTGGTCTTTATCCTGTGTCACCTTTGCCCCCCTACCTGTAGAAACCAGAGGAGTCAAAGACACCACAGCAGCAGAAGCAGAAGGACCAAGATGAACCTGAGGAGCTAGACTTCCTTTTTGATGAGGAGATGGAACAGATGGATGGCCGCAAGAACACCTTCACCGACTGGTCGGATGAAGATTCAGATTATGAGATCGATGATCGGGATGTGAACAAGATCCTCATCGTGACACAGACGCCTCCTTACCTGCGCCGGCATCCTGGTGGGGACCGGACTGGCAACCACACATCCAGGGCTAAAATGAGCTCAGAGCTGGCCAAGGTGATCAACGATGGGTTGTACTACTATGAGCAGGACCTGTGGACAGAGCAGTTTGAACCAGAGTATTCGCAGATCAAGGTGAGAGCAGCTGATCAAGGAGGGGAGCGCACGTGGGTGCGGGGCTTCACACAAGGAGCTTCGTGTGCACTAGGCTGGCTGCCTTGTTGGTGTGGGGTGGAAAAGGTGGTATAGCGGGTGACAGCCCACTTGTGGGGTAGAGTTAAGCCACGATTAGTCCTCTTGTAGAGCTCAGGACTCCTGCCTCCCAGTGCCATGCTCTGCTGTGTCAGGGATAAACACAGCTCTGTAACGTGGCGTAAGGCTGCAGCCAGGTAAACAAAGTGCCAGTAACGAGGTGACCTGGAACACGGGGTCCATTGCTCTGCTGTCTGCCAGGGTCTCGGCAGGCAGTGCCAGATCTATGGAGGGAACCGGGTGTCTCGGCACTGTCCATAGTGCCCAGCACTCCATGGCACAGTCCCTTGGAGACCGTACTTACTGGAGATGGGTTCACTGATGGCTGGGCTGCACTTGGCCTGTATTCTCCATTTTGCTGCCAGTTTACATAGACATGGGCTTTTTATAGAAGCCCATCTGCTGCTTTGAAACATTTGAGTCCCAGCTTGGTGACTCTGACGGTCGGGGACTTGCCTAGGCTCGTTCAGTGACTGAAGTTGTTTTGGCTGTGAGGTGGGATGGCCCATTGGAGCTACCAGCTGGGCTCAGTGTTGCCACGTCTGGTACCTGGCGCATTGCTGAAGCAGTGCTGCTCTTTGAAGTGTCAGAAGCGGAGGGTGTGGGCAGAGCAGGTGACAGAGGGACAGCGTGTGCTGGGGGTATGGATCCTTCAAGTGCATGGGAGCGTTGTGCCCCACTGCTGGTGTGGCAGTGAGGGTTCAGGGAAGAGACTCTAGGGAATGCAAGAACATGGCTGGGGCGATGGGGTCCTGGCCAATGTTGCCTTGAACCTCGCTGCACCAGCGCAGACCCAGGTGAGTAAAAGCCTGAAAGAAGCAAGCAATGGTTCGTGGAGCTGCCTTGTAAGATCCCTGAAAGCTTGAGGCCAGCAAGTGACTCGGATCTGGCCCATGCAGGGCCCCATTTTCTTTCTGCTGCATCTCCCCTTCATATCTCTGTGCAGCACATCGCCCTTCTGGGCACCAAGGCCTCGTGGCTGCACTTGGTGCCCAGCATTGTGGCTGCTGGACAAGGAGAGTGGTGGTCACAATGAGTTGATGGGATGAGGGCAGAAGAGGGCAATTGGTTGCTTCATTGTCTTCCTCTTCCAATGCAGCAAGAAGTGGAGAACTTCAAGAAGGTGAATATGATCAGCAGGGAGCAGTTTGACACCCTGACGCCAGAGCCCCCTGTGGATCCAAACCAGGAAGTCCCTCCTGGTCCCCCCAGGTTCCAGCAAGGTAAGAGACAGGGGGCATGAGCAGGTGGGACTGAATTTTGTCCCTTTCTCCTAGTGAGACGTCCTCAGAGGTTGGGTAGCAGCTGGGGAGAAGGAAGCGAGGTCACAGGCGTCTGGGATATCTTTCCCAGAGCAATGTGCTTCTCTCAGCTGAATGTTTTGGGGCTCCCAAAGAGGAGGCCCAAAAGAAGGGGTGACCCAGCTAAGTGAGGAAACTTTGGTGGGCTTTGATGTAGCTCCCTGGATGTGACTTTTGGACCCTTTGAGTACCTGGAAGGCAGCTGCATGCTGGGCCTCGCTTGCCTGTGCATGATGCCTGGTACCCTGTCTTTCTGCTGGGGATGGGGGGATTTGTTGCTGCTGTTAGCCACTGGGAAGCAGATACCTTGTGGGATCCCTGGAAGCTCGGTCCTTGGACCCACTACTAGGCTTTGGGCTGTCTTGCCAGGCTGGTGACATGCTGGATTTGAAGCTGCTTGTCTCAGGGGGCTGAGATGTATCCTTTTATTCCTGCCCCCTTTGCTTCCCATCTGCCAAATGGGTGTCCCTTGGCTGTAATGATACTCTTGTGCTCAGAGCTCAGCTTGACCTGGGCTGGGGGGTTTCTCCCTGCAGTACCTACAGATGCTTTGGCTAACAAGTTGTTTGGAGTCCCCGAGCCTTCAACCATCGCCAGGTCTTTGCCTACAACTGTACCAGAATCACCCAACTACCGCAACGCCAGGACCCCCCGGACCCCTCGCACACCTCAGCTGAAGGACCCGACGCAGACGCCCCGGTTCTACCCGGTGGTGAAAGAGGGCAGGACGATAGATGCCAAGGTAGGACCAGGGCTGGGGTGCGGGACGGGAGCTGGGGTTTCCCAGCTGGGCACTGGGGAGGAAGGGGACGCATCCCTGATGCACCATGTCTTGCAGACTCCGCGGAAGAGGAAGACAAGGCACAGTTCAAACCCTCCGATGGAGTGCCACGTGGGCTGGGTGATGGACTCTCGGGAGCACAGGCCCCGAACTGCCTCCATCAGGTAACGGAGGAGACATGCATGATCATGGAGGAGCCAGAAATGGGAAAGGGAGCGTCTGGTGGGAAGGAAGGAGAAAGGCAGCATCTTGCCTTGGAGGGGAGGTCTGCTGTTATGTGGCTGCAGAAGGGGTTGGGGTCCAACTTGTCCCCCCTGGAACGAGCTAAGGGAAATCTGAAGTCTTGGAATAATGAGATGAGACTCGGTTGGGAACGTTGGTTCCCGTCCTTGTAGAATACCCCATGGCTCAGGTCCAAAACCCAGAGTAGACAGTCACAGGGAGTCATTAGGACCAACAGACAAGTGTCACGAGGTGCTGTGTGACCCCACTCTGCTGTCAGCTGGGTAATGCCAAGGAAGGGGTTGACAGGAGTCTCTCATACTCAGCTCCAGCCCCTCGGAGGGGACCCCGGCCGTCGGAAGCTACGGCTGCACCCCGCAGTCCTTGCCCAAGTTTCAGCATCCTTCACACGAGCTGCTCAAGGAGAACGGCTTCACGCAACATGTCTACCACAAGTACCGTCGGCGCTGCCTTAACGGTAAGCGTGCCTGCACCACAGGGCATGGAGCAGGGTGTCTGTGCCCTGCTGTGTTGGGGGGCAGGGTACGGTGGCAGAGCATGCACATGGAGAGAAGCAGGGTCCTACAGGACAACCTTGCTGGTAGCTGATGTTTCCCCACAGTCTGTGGCGAGCATGAGCTGTGGCTCAGGGTGTCCAGCACTGGAGCTGGGTGTAGCCACAGGGTCCTCCTGTATGCGAGCTCCTGTGCAGAGCTGGTTCCCTGAGAGAGGATCTGCCTTGTAATCATCCCCTCTTCCCAAAACAGAGCTGAAA